CAGAAACTCAACCTCCCTTGTTTACACCGATAAATTCTGATATGGTATCCCAATGTTTATAGTATGTACTACAAAACATGTTGCCTATTTAAACTCTATGTGGTGCATTCTCTTCACTTTTTCGTCACCGATCTTCATCGTGCTCATCGTTCGTCGGTCGAGCGACCAATTGCAAGACTGTGTGTTCCAACGGAATAAAGGATCTCAGTACGATCACCCTACTCCTGGGATTTGGGCCCCGATGATAGGCGCCGGAATCGTCCAAATTCGCCACGAACTTCGCCGCGCAACTTGCCGCGCACGACCTCGGACGCAAGTCTTGACTCACACCCGGGTTAGCCCTGAGGGAAACGAGTAGTTCAGAAGAGATTACGGAATCGTGGAGACATCGTGATATCTCGGTGCTATGGATGAGGGCCATACTCAGCCTCGATGACTATAGGTGGTTATTAAAGAATTTCTCCCTCGCTGAGCATAAAAGGTTTCCATCCTCAGAAGGTTATTATTTGGATGTGAATTAAATGGAACCTACAGTAGTCATCGTTGTGGGCGATCAACACGTTGAAAAGAGACGTCAGAAACATAGAAACGCAGTTGATGAGGAAGAGATTCGCAAGAAGGAAGAGATGATGCTGTAAAGTTGAATTCTTTCAGACACAATTATAATAGTACTACATTACGTTCTAGAATGAAGAAAAAACCAAAAACCTGTTGAAGCGACCAATTGCAAGACTGTGTGTTCCAACGGAATAAAGGATCTCAGTACGATCACCCTACTCCTGGGATTTGGGCCCCGATGATAGGCGCCGGAATCGTCCAAATTCGCCACGAACTTCGCCGCGCAACTTGCCGCGCACGACCTCGGACGCAAGTCTTGACTCACACCCGGGTTAGCCCTGAGGGAAACGAGTAGTTCAGAAGAGATTACGGAATCGTGGAGACATCGTGATATCTCGGTGCTATGGATGAGGGCCATACTCAGCCTCGATGACTATAGGTGGTTATTAAAGAATTTCTCCCTCGCTGAGCATAAAAGGTTTCCATCCTCAGAAGGTTATTATTTGGATGTGAATTAAATGGAACCTACAGTAGTCATCGTTGTGGGCGATCAACACGTTGAAAAGAGACGTCAGAAACATAGAAACGCAGTTGATGAGGAAGAGATTCGCAAGAAGGAAGAGATGATGCTGTAAAGTTGAATTCTTTCAGACACAATTATAATAGTACTACATTACGTTCTAGAATGAAGAAAAAACCAAAAACCTGTTGAGAACGAAGTTGGCACATTCGAAAGAAACCGCATGAGGAAAACCCAAGCAGAGAGCTGGCGACGATGAATAATGTCTGAACAGAACTGCAAAGCAATTCATTTCGATTATATTCTTTCGAACAGATATCTCTCTAGGTAACACTACAATAGGAGCTTCCTACATAACGGGCCTTGCTCGGACCATTTAAATTTTGCTCACTTACTTAATTCATCTCAGCCATTACTTACGCCTTAACGTGACTTTCTCACGATATCGAGCAAACATGTCCTAAAGTTGAGGAAAAAAAGGTTAGGGTTAAGACCTTCCCATCATCGTCGCTGTCAGCCTGGCTGTGGCTAATGTTTGTCATCGCCCTTCAACCGCTTCACTACGTAATCAGTGGTGTGCTTCGATGTGGAGCATTTCTTCGCCTGGACGCACTCGGTGAATCGTATTCTGGGAAGACCTTTCCGAGATGGATGAAAGGAGAACTACAAATACCCGAGTCAGGTTCGAAGTATCCCACCTCCGATCATTCACAGTCGCACTGTAACCTTTCAGGTGCAATGGGCATCAGGAATCCCATCCTTTCGCCTTGCACGTAGCTCCATCACTGATGCTACTCTTCTCGAGTAGAGTCACAGACAGGAAACGCCTAGTGGCTGTGACATTCACTTCTCCTGTGTCAGTGTAAAAACTTTGTTTTCTAGAGGATGATGTGTTTTTTGCGAGCCCAGAGCTGCACACTCACGCCGTCTATCGGAGCAAACGCGCGCAATCAACAAAATTCTTACCCGTCCCCTGATCAAGACTAAAGTGATGCCTTCATGCGGTATTTTTCAATCATTTTCCCATCATTCGGCTTTTTGAAGGGTTCTCAACTCGAAAATTTTATAGGTACGCGTAACAAGAAGTTGGATGACCGTTATGTAACGGTACTTCTCACAGTTGAGGTGATTTTGGAAAAAAACTTCTTACGGCATGCTTAACTCGTACGGAATAAATTCATTTGGAATTCCGAAAATTTCACCCGACTATGTGGAACTTTTCGTTATTTCGGAGACTGCATTGATTACCACTTTGTGATCGCAATTCCGAGCTATAATGCTATAACAGAACATCGGAACTGTCGATCAAACATTTTCTCCTAAAATTGATTATAACTTCGTGCAATTTAGCAACCCAGTTTTTTATGTGAAATATTTTGATATCGCAAATTATAATAGCCTCTTTGAATTCTTTCAAAAGCACAGTGCACGATAAAAATGGTATAGATTTCCCCATCGGATCAGTTCGGGGCTCCTACTGATACCATACGTGCCGAGTCGGGTAGAGAAATGACCTTTTGAGAGCACAGTAAGGGGCCAGACATTGTATCGTGTGAATGCCACCCCCGCAGCGGACGATTTCATCGGTGTTGTAGAGGTTGCGCCATTTGCAATGGAATCCATATAGTGTGTTCAACCAACTTGTCATGCCCATGGCGACAGTGCAAAATAGTTTTGGACAATATTGGCTTGATTTAGTCAGCTCTTTACTTTCAAAGTGTGTGACGCTCTGGTCAAACCTCAAGTCTCTTCTTGTCCTGAGAAGTTCCTTCGCCGCACCCGAAATGCGAGCGGAGGTATCTACTCTTTGCAACGGTTGAAAACTCGTCCGAGTACACCTTCCCCATTTCCTTCATGGTGATCTCATACATCTTCTACTTCCACTACTTCTTGTCGCTTGATTTTCTCGCTTTCTTTGCACTGCACTGCCCTCATCGATACTTTCGCTTTTCGACTTAAAAAGGGTGGCTAAAAATTATCGTGAAGTGCGTCTTTGAACAGAATAAGTCGTCCGTTCAGAAAGGACTGGCCATACATCACATGATTTCGTTTTTTATCAGTAAGTTTGGGAAGCCGTCTACATCTTAAAGTGATTGCTGGAATGCCTAACAGGAATATGGTGAGACAGACTATCAGTTACGATTGCGAGATTATGAGTATAGAGACCACTGCCCTGATCTAACACAAAAAGTGTGTAGATGAACTCGATATTAATTGCTATCACATCTAGTCTTTGCCATTATATTAGCACGGCAATATTCCTACTCCGTTCTGCTACGGCCCAGTGTGAAAGGTCTTCCAAGCCGTTATTTCGGGTCAATTGAAACACTTTCTATTCAACATTGGAAGACGTAAAGAACAGATGCCATGGTATACCGTTACAGATGCCGGTTGGAGTTCCGGATCGAAGAGTCCGATCATAGCGAACAGTATGCCGGATGGCACAGATCCGAGCGTGTTGAAGAACCGGATTTTGTTCGTTTCAGTGTTCCTAGAAGATCGTGAATGTTGGCTTTAATGATGTCCACGAAGAACATCCAGAAGTATGTACTTACGCGAGTTTAGAAAAAAGTCCGCATGTAAAGAAATTGGTGGCGATATTGCAGGCCGGTGGAATGGCCAAAAGCAGACCGGTGGAAACAATCGGCAACCGAACAACCTAGGCTTCCACAAAATTACGCAAGAAACATGCACAAAGACTAAGCCGCAACACCTTGTTAAGAAAAGTTGCTCCAAATGTAAGGTACAGATTGAGAGCCGTGAAATAGCCAAAAGCCGCAATGAATACAGACCAAATCCGAATGTCCTTAACGAATGTGCTTAAAAAATGTGTGGGAAAAAAGATTTGTATGACAGAAAGTGTTTAACCTGATAAATCGATAAATAGGGCAGTCGTAAGGTTATAATGCGGGATCGGCACCTCTCGTACGTGAATAGTGCCTGAACAAGTAAATCAGAAGTTGAGGTGCAAAGTCTACTATAGGGTAATATCAGGCCTCTCTTTCAAAAAAGATGACCCTCAGAGGAAAACTTGCATTGAATGTGCTCTCCCTTGCGGCTTTCTCTTTAAACTCGTCGTCGTAGTTTATCAAGAGGAAAACTCCAAACATAAAAGCCGTAGCGAGGCATCCTCCATAGTGCACGGAATGCCATCCGAGTTGACTCCATGATAAAAGAGAGAATATCGGGAACGCGAAGAATGCGGCTACCTGGAGAAGAGATCTGTTGGGTAGGCACAAATGATTCCTGATGATTCACACCTGAATATATGCGAAGATGATGGACGGAAAAGCCATATGTCGTAAGGGAATGAATAAAGCAATCTTGCAAAGATAAGGCAAGAAGACAGCTAGTGAAAAACCTGAAATAAGCAGAACTGTACTTGACTATTATTGTGATTGTTATTCACTAAAGTGTAATAAGTATTTGATCACCCCACTCTTTGGTCAAGGAGTACTTTTATCTCAATCCAGTTATTTCAGAACTAGAAGATTTTAAGAAGCAGTTCAGATATAAGATAGCTACTGAAGTATGGAGCTATAAAACATCTTAACTCCGTATAAATCTACTAGCATTTCTCCATTAAATGTTCTCATCAGTTGCATATATTCCAATTCGTCACATTATATGTAGTAGTTGTGATCTATGTATTATATTCGCTTTTGTATTGTGTAGTAACTTTTATTCCCTACGTTTACCTCCAGCAGCGTACAATGAAGACAAAGGTAGAGGCTAACCTTGGAGTACACGAACAACAATAGCAAGTAAAAATGTCCTAGCTGAAGTGCAGATTGGTACGAACACCGACGGTATTATAGCTAGCACAGCGCAGAGCACAAAACATCTCCTGAAATTCGCTTAGTCGTTCAGATTCCAACAACATGTGCCGATAATACAAAGCTGACAAGTAAGGAATACCGTTTTTTCGAAATATAATCCTCTTCAAAGATTCTATGATTTCGAACCATACTGTATATCGTTCTAATTTTTAAGATGTGGTTCATAAAAACCTATGGTTCGATCGGGCTTTAGATTAGTGAAAAGAGAGGTAGAATCGACAATAATCACCGGAGCCGTCGACTATCTCAATTTCTGTTTTCCACAGCAAGAAATCTAGCGATATATGGTGAACTTATTCTGAATATTTCATCTGTAGGTTGACCAACAGTTTGAGGGTCGTGCTGTGTAATGCTTCACACTGTTTTGCCGTACAGGTTTTATATGGTAGAAACCACTTCATTTCGTCGACTTTCCGAACACATCACCGTCTTCAAGGACTTGATGTCGTTAGGAGCTCCTGATCTGTAGCTTACCCCACAGGCGCCCGAACGCGTGTTAGCCGAGTTGCAACAGCTCTTGAAAAGTTGAGCACCAAAAGATCCCAGCAAAGAAAACAAGTCTCTGCAGTGCCACCAATGCTGCCTTCCCACTCGATTTTTTGAACAACAACAACAACAACAACGGACCAACGAGACACCATCGACGGTCGTTGGATAAGAGTTACGCTGCTATCTCAAGATTCACAAAAAATGAATGGCAGATATTCGCCTGTTATGCAGCTCACTAATTTCGTTTGTTCAGCTTGGGATTTCTTTCGCGCATGCGCAACGCTTCCAATATCTTCCTTGGACCTATCTCACTTTCGTAGGCTAGGATTTTGCATTTTATATCAAAATCATTACCCTGATGTTCTTCTGTCGATGCTCTCCAAGTGGCTTAAGGAGGCTTCTGCGCCTATTACCTGCTAGACTTCTTCGACACAAATGCGT